GTTTGATGAACTCTTCATAAGAAGGGGCATAGGTGTAGGCTCTCTTGTGTTGCTCATTCATCTGTTCTCTGTACTCCAACTGGGAAAGCAGCATTGGGTTAATGTAATCTGGATTACTCAACAACTCTACTACTGTCTTCAAGACTTTTGTTGTGAGAATTTCTGCAAGCATAATACGTAGGCTGAGAGACTGCACATCCTTTGAAGGGAGGAGACAAAGCACCAGAACTTGAGAACATATTTGTAGGAATCTTAGTTCATCCTCTGAGTTCCTCAAGCATGCATGCAACACAAAAGGCCTTGGCTGTTCTTCATGGCTACAAAAATAAATCAGTAAAGAAAAGGAAAAAGAAGAAAAGAAACTTCTAGAAACAATTCAGTTATGTACCATTATGCAAAAAAAAATTTCAAGTGGTCAACACATTGGTTACAATAATTCTTTAACCTTCTCAACGATACTAATAACCAGTAATTTCTTTAATCATACTAATCTGGAAAACTTGTACTAGAATAAATATAAATGTATGCCCTTTGAAGATTTAAATGAAATCACAGTAAATACTTTAGTATCAAAATTTGTATGTAACAAATCCTAGCAACAATCTCAAAAGGTATGAGTATTTCCTTAAGTAGATAATCTTTAAGTTTTCTAGATGTCTTCTTAAATGTGACCCATAGGTTCATTAAAAAAAAAAAAGAAAGTGTAAACCAGGGTCATTAGCTACCTTTCTTGACTAGCGATTACAGGATAACAAATCTATGGGCTATTTCTAGTGAAGACAGGATTTGTAACTTGATGATACAAAATTTGATGGCAAATTGCCTTCTGTGAGGCTCTCAAGTACTTTCCAGCTTTGGCTGTGGACTTCCTTGTCAGCACTGACCCCTTCCTAGGACCACTAATTCAGAGGATATGAGTGAGGAGAAGAATGAACTTTCTATATATACTTCTCTTTCTCTACATACTTCTTCTTGATAGCAACTCAAGAAAGACTGAGACGGTAATTTTTCTAATATTGTCTAAGTAAAAGTCAAAGTGTTAAAGATTCTTATAGTAACTAGTGCCAACAATGAAAAAACCCCCAAAAAACAGAAGGGGAGAAACATACTATGTATTAAATAGGAAATGAAACAAATACGGAAATATGCATGCTGGGGCCCTTATGACCAATGTTTCTCAGGACTTCATTAGAAACTGAAGACTCGTTATTACAACATATACACTAAAAAAGGAACAACTTCCTGTTTCCATTCTACAACAAGCTACAGGAATTCTATCCTAATGTGCAAAGCCAACAACATGAAAAGAGATTTTAATAGCAAAGATTTACCTATACATTGATGTATGGTGACTTTAAAAAAAAAAGTCATCTTCACTTAATTGAAACTTTAGCTATGCTGCCACACAGAGTTAATATTTTGGTTCAGTAAGATCAAGATGCTACTTCTTTGTCAGGACAAGCCCTTTCAAACATAATTATTTGCTTTAAAATACTGTAAACATTTTGTCAATATTTATTGACAGAGGTTGGGCAAAACAAAATCCATTTTAATGAGAGAAGCTTTTTTAAATAATATCGAAACACCTCTTAAAAGTGCACATCACCTGGAGAGTGCAAGGTCCTGAGTTCAATCCCTGGTACCAAAAAAAAGTGCACACCATCCCTTGTCCATATCAATGGAAGGCAGGTAAAAAAGGGGCCTGGTTCTTGGAATGCCACAAATCTGTCTCCCTTCTAGAGCAGAGTTAGGAAAAAACTTCCTGAATGAGTCAAGGGCCAGAGGTGGGCCAAACAATCTTGATCTTTGCAAAAACTTCACTGGAAGACTTCTCTAGACTATCTGCAAACTCTGAGCAGGACATTCCTGTGAAGCCCTCTTAAGTGGACATCAAGGGTAGCTTCAGAAGCAAAGAAAGGATCATGAAGCAATGGCTACTTGGGTCAGGAAATGACTGGCTAGCCTTTTGGTGGGTTGTAGCATTAATCTTTGTATTATCCTTCTGTCAGTGTAGATCGATAGTGATCACTATTCACTACAATTCCTTCTATTTACTTATTGTGGTACCTGGTACTGAACCCAGGGCCCTCCCCACTAATTACCTCTGAATTCTCATTCCTTGAATGAGCAAAAGAATTAGAGCCTCTTTTACTTTTTTTAAATTTTTGGCACCAGAGATCGAATTTGGGACCTTGTGCCTGCAAGGCAGGCACTGGAACCACTGAGCTAAATCCCCGGCCCATAACCTTTGAAATTAACTGATTGATTGACTGTGGTACTGGGAATGAACCCAGGGTCTTCACACTGAGCTCATCCCCTGCCTCCCCTTTCTTTTTATTTTTTATTTTGAGACAAGGTGTCACTAAGTTGTTAAGTGGCCCAGGCTGGGATCAAACATGCAATCCTCCTGCCTCAGCCTCTCAGGGTACTGGGATTATGGGCATGTACTACCATGTCTGGCTCCTTGTACAAACTCTATGTAACAGTATTACTTAATTCTACCACCTACACCAAGAAGTAGTCATCACCAGCACCATTTTATGGACAAGAAAATTAAGATCTGGGTGTTTAAGCGAATAAAGTCACAAAGGTGATAAATGGTAGGAATAACTCTCAAGTAACTTTCTGGCTCTTAAGTTGCCTCTATAAATTATCTCATAATCAGAAATTATAAAATAAAAAGGGGAAAAATGTCAGAGATAAAGAAAATATATGAATAAAAACTTTTTTTCTTAACATCCCATCCCTCGACTGGCACATAGCATAGACAATAAAGAGATTATAAAATGAAAGATGCTATTGAGTTAACAGCAGAAAAGCACTCTTTTTTAGATTTTTCTGAAACAAGACAGATAGGACACAAGAAGAAGAAGCAAGTCTTAAATGCGATCTGGATTGGCTAAGACTAGCAACAGAATGCCAGGCTGGAAATAAACACAGGCTGACCGGAAAGCTGCCTCCATACAACTGTAACAATCAACCAGAGGGTGTATTGTTTTCTTTTTCTTTCTTTTTGTTTTTTTTTTGGTACTGGGGATCAAACTCAGGTCCTTGCGCTTGCGAGGCAGGTGGCGGAACCACTGAGCTAAATCCCCAACCCGGATGTATTGTTTTCATTAATGCAATTTACTACTCTTTTGTCTGATAGTGGCCAATTCAACTGGGTGCTCCCCTAGACTACCAAACTCATTTTGCAGTCAAAGGAGATCTGCATTCAGGTGAAGATTTCTAGGATAAAAGCACTGTTTACCGAGGGTTGGCAGATACACATACAACCATCAAACCTAAACTCACTGTGAACTCACTGTGAACCCACTGTGTGGTTAGCATAAGATGACACACAGAAAATATTAGCTTTCCAAAACATGATCCCCTATATGTAAAATGTCAGTGGTGCTTTTTCAAATACCTCAAAGGACAGTGGGGGCGGGGGTTTTTTTCTTTCTTTATTTTCTTCATTTTTAATCTTTCATCATCAACTAGAGCTTCTAGAATAGCCTAGGTAACAATAAAATCTACCCCTGGCATAAGATGACAAGAAGCTGAAAGAGATGGAGCGTCTAATACAGTATCAGTTCTCTCTATTATTCTGATGCTTTATTTGTAACTATCTTTATATTATCCTCAAAAGTAGTAATTCCAGAAGCTGGTAAATGTCTCAGTGAAACATATATTCTCATGTTGAAATTAGATAATCATAAAAACACTAAATTTCTCTAAGCATTTGTCCTCCTAAATACTGTTCTCTACTGGATCAAATTTATAACTTTTTTTTTTTGTAGTACTGGGGATTGAACCCAGGGCCTTTGCACTGAGATATATCCTTAGCCCCTTCTTTTATCTTTTATTTTGAGACAGAATCTCACTAAGTCAATAAATTGCCCAGGTTGGGCTCAAATCGCAGAGTGCTGGGATTATACATGTATACCACATCCAGCCCTTTATTTGTTTTTTTTTTCGGTACTGGGGATCGAACTCGGGTCCTTGCGCTTGCATAGCAGGAGTCGAAACCACTGAGCTAAATCCCCGGCCCTAACCCTTTAAATAATTTAAAATGAATGTGTGCTGAATTCAAACAAGTCTTTGCTAGTATTTGTTGGGGAGAACCACGGAATACTTAAGTGAATACCAGAGCAAATTAGCAGGTGCTCCTCAGGGCTAATGAACACTTCAAAAGGATGGGCAGAAGCTACTAAAGCTCTAGGGGGGTGACTCAAGAGCCATGGTTCTCTCAATTTTCTTATTAATTCACATCTTCACCCTTTACTGCAAGTTCCTTTGTCTATAAACAACAGTTTTCAAAGATTGGTCCAGAGATTCCTATACGTTCCCAAGGCCTTTCAGCAGGTCTGCAAGGTCAAAACTATCTTCCTGGTAATATAAACCTTTTTCATTTGTCCTTTTCACTTGCATTCTCAAAAGTGTAGTGGAGTTTTCCAGAGGCTACATGATGTGTGATGACATTACCACTGATACCAAATGGAAAGTGTACTTTGTACTCTTGTACTTTGAAAACTTCTTGGTTTTAATACCTAGTATGATAAATACTGATAGATATGATGAGTGATGCTAGTAAATGTTTACTAACTGGCTCTGTATGAAAAAAAGATGTTAATTGAAAACATTTGCCCATTCCACAGTGCAAATGGAAGATTCCAAGCTAGCAATATGATTTCCTTGAATTTGGACCTGGGAAGAGATGTGCACAGTTGGCCACTAGATATGACTCACACAGACGAAAGCTCTTCAAGGTTCTAAATAGCTTTTAAGATTGTAGAAGAATTCTAAGACCAATAAATCTGAGAACCACAGCTCTATAGTAATACAGTACTTTCGCACAATGGGTCACGACAAGAAATAACAACAAAATTAAAATGGTTTCAGAAAGCACTTAAAAATGTTAAAGAGCAAAAAACATCAAACTTATCACAGGCTATTAAGAGTAAAGGCTTTATGAAAGTGAGCCTCAATTTAAAATGTATTCATTTCTCACTATGCCAATGTTAAAACAAAGTTTGCAGGCCAGGGATTTAGCTCAGTGGTTCCACCACCTGCCTCGCAAGCGCAAGGTCCTGAGTTTGATTCCTGGTATCAAAAACCAAAACAAAACAAAAAACAAAGTTTGCAATACATAGGAGGGCAGCAAGCTGGAAAACAGCTTGTAATGGCTCTGGACTGTACCCTCATCAACTTGAGGCCAGTAGATTTTGGGAGAGAAGATAGCTCCCAATAGGGGCAATAGAACAGAATGGAGACCTGCTGCACAACCACATTTAGTAATCAACTCCTATCCAAGAGCAACATCACAGACTATTTTCTAATAAAGTCACACAACAAAGCTTCTGAGAAGAGAATATGAGTTATTACAGACCAGGTAGGATGCCAATGCTGATGCACTCCCTTCAAAGTTTACTTTATCTCTTTGCTAAAAGTGAGAATAGGCTTTCTTAACTAGAGGTGGTCCCATTCCTATTTCAACAAACAGAAGGCTATTCATTTCACTAAAACTACTTTTTTGTACAAGTTATAAGTGCTGTTATACATTATCCTTTCACTTGTTCAAGAGTAAGATATGTGAAAAAGAAAAAAAAAAGAGTAAGATATGTGAAAAAAAGCCTACCAGAAAGCCTAAAAAATAAGAACTTGTTATGAGCACATAAATGGCCTTGTTGAAGTATTCTTCCAAAGGTAATTTCTCACCTAATAGGCACAAACAAATCTTTTCAATGTAATGGTACAAAGGTTTAACAAGCCTATGCATTAGCGATTTCTACAATGAAACAAATTCTCTCATTAGAGACCACAAGCTTTAATACTGTTTCTTTAAATATCAGTCTTTAAGACATTCTAAAGCAACTGAATTCTTAGCACAGGAATCACCAAAGAAACATAAATTATGTACTAATTTTTCTAAAATTTGTAAATTGGGCCAGGGATTTAGCTCAGTGGTTCCGGCGCTTGCTTTGCAAGCGCAAGGTCTCGAGTTCGATTTCTGGTACCAAAAAAAAAGAAAAGAAAAAAAAGAAAATTTATAAATTGATTGGCACTGATTGTATTACAGCATACTATTCTGAACTTCTTCAATCTTTAGGTATCAATACTATTAATAATTAAATTCATCATGGTGCTGGCTCAGTAAAATTCATTTCACTGTTAAAGTTATTTATTAAATTAAGTACATCTATAAAGTGGTTTTCTATTAGAAAGTTACCCAAAAACTCTACTCTATCAGAACACTGTAACTAATCTGCCTCAAAACGTTTAAATTTTCAGGTTAAATGAGAGCTTTGACTTTGATCCCTTACTCAATAAAAAAACTATTTTAAAGTGAAGAGGAGAGAGAGCTGTTCCTGTTATAACAGTTACCTGGCATTAGCAGCTTTCAGGTCACAGAAATGAGTGAGTAAAGCCCTTACAACCTCATTGCAGACGACTTTAACCACATCCACGTGACTCATTCTGTGGTGTAGCTGCTTGGCAATTTCCCAAAAGTCTTCCAAGAGCAGGTAGTAAAGCTGTCCGTTATCTCTGCTGAGGTTTCCATACCAGGAAAGAATGTAATCTCTGTAACTGTAGTCAAACACTACCGGGAAAAAACAAAGCAATGAGTAAGTCCAGATGAAAGAAATAATCACCAAGATAGCCTTTCTACTGGGAATTGGCTGCCAGCTATCTAATATTAATTGTTTAAAATATAAAGAGATGGGGCAGGGATTTAGCTCAGTCCTGAGTTTGATCCCTGGTACCGGAAAAAAAAAAAATTATATATATATAAAGAGAGTAAAATACCTAACTCAGGAGAAGTCAAATAATCTTTCCTAAATCTTTTAAAATGGGAGATTCTAAGGCTCGGCATTTAGCTCAGTGGCGCGGTGCCTGCCTCGCAAGTGCAAGGTACTAAGTTCGATCTCTGGTACCAAAAAAACACCCCAAAACCAAAAACACCACCAACAACAAAAATGAGATTCTCCTCTAACTAGAATGTTTGAACACATGTTCTGGATTTTCTTATACAATCTAAGTTTTAAATATTTCATCCTAGTGCCAACCTGTTTAATTTTGTGTAAAGAATACAGTGGTATCTCAATTCACAAATTTGATTCTTCCCATAATTCTGGCTGCAAACTGAGTTGGACAAGAACTGAATCAAATTTCCTCATAAAGTCAATGTTGTAACCACTCAATCTGATTCAGTTCTTGTCCAGTTTGGTTTGCGATCAATATGGTGGAGAGAACTGAGTTCATGAACCGAGCTACCACTGTATCTTATACCATGCATGGCAACCCATTTTCCCCTACCCTGTGGTATTGCCCCAAACCTCTCAACTATCATATGGGAAAAGGTCATGCTTTCTCCAATGAGGCATGAATCTCAGCCTGGGATGAAGTACACTTACTCCAAATTTATCCAGTCCTGAGATACTCTGCCTCAGCACCTAGAAGCAGTGGCTGCTCCCATTATCTACTCTTCCTATATTCTTTTGTATTCTCTGTACCTCTTAGTGGTTGGTCCTATGTTACAAGGAATTACTTTATATTTAACTTTCCTTGCTTAATTAGTGTGTGGTTCTGTCTCCTAATAAAGACATCAATTAATCTAGGAAGAATTCCACACACTACTCCCAGATATTATACTAGGTTCAGCATTTGTGGTCTACCATCTTGATTGGAATATTTTTAGTCTTTCTGGATCAATTATATGCCTTGAAATTAGAAAACTAGTTCTAGACTAGTGTTATTTAATAGAAATACAAAAGCCAGGACCGGGAATTGAGCTCAGTGGCACTGCGCTTGCCTGGCAAGCACAAGGACCTGAGTTCAATCCCTGGTACTGCGGAGGAAAAAATTGTGAAAGATGATCTATAATCCAAAGATGAGATCTGATGTAATCCTAATAGCAGCTCCATTAAGTGAATATCAGCAGAAATACAAGAGCCAAATGTCATTTTAAAGTCTTCTAATAGTCACATTAAAAAAGTAAAAACAGGTAGAATTAACTTTAATAATTTTTTTTCACACAATATATTCCAAGTATTTCAATATGACATCAATATTTAAAATATGTATTTTAAAACAAAATATTTTGCATTATTTTTTCATGCTCAATTTTGCAATCTCCTATATATGATACTCCTCAGCAATCTCAATTGAACTAATCACATCACTGGTGCTCAAGAGCCACATGAAGGTCTACTGTGTTGGACGGCACACCTCTAGCCCATACAGGAAAAAGGTCAATGTGATCTCTGCAAGAAACTAGGTCTTTTCAAAACTACCACTGGGCTTAGGTGATAACACTTTCTAGTGCACCAAGGGAGAAAACTATTTAATCACATAATCAATCCTGTTCCAGCTCAAGGACACTAGGATTATTACTTTCTTAATTACTTATTTCCCAAAGTTTTTTAAATTTCCTATTTCAAACACTATTTGACTTGGCTTAATTTCAGACGCTGATACCATTTCAGATAATTAATTTATCTCCCTGCTTTTGTTTGCTTCTTGGCACACTACTTCCTTCCCAGGAACCATGAGGAACAAAATATACCCTTGTAAACCAGATCTACTTCACCCTTGGCATATAAACAACCAACCTAATTTTCAAATAATTTTTGAGACCAGGATTTGGTGCTCATTTTATTTCTGCTGGCTACTACACACCAATATGAAGGCTTAAAAATAATAAATCTAGGTAGACTTTTTTTTTTCTCCAGTGGACAGACTGCGAAGGAGAGTCACTTTTCTTAGAAAACTGAAAGCCAAGTGGAACCTCAAGCTCAGGATCAGTATGTATTCGTCACAATTCCACATAAATGCCCATAGGTCAAAAGAAACACCATTCTTGTTTTAATATTCTGTGATGGGTTTTCCCTTGAAATATCAACCATGAAAGTAAAGCCAATCTGGTTTTTTTTCACATTTCTAGAATGTCTTCAATGCAGTTTTATATTAATTTACAAAATATTAACTTAAGTTTCACTGCTCAAAAACACACACAAAGCTTCAAGAATTTTGTTCCACTGCACATCAAAGGCAAAAAAAAAGAAACCACCCAAAAATCATCTCCTAAAATTCTTGTCATTTTATTCTAACTTCCAAATGTTAATTTGAACAAATACTTGTTTTCTAGCTTTTGCAAAATGTAGCCATAGCTCATTTCTAAGTGGACTACTCCATCAAGAAGAAAGCAGAAATAGTTTCGACCTACATAAAAAAAAATTATGGCAAAACCAAGAATGGGCCAAATCTATAATTGCATTTATCAGCGATAAATAAACCATGGTTTCTACACAGTAACTGGATTTTATACCTTCAGGAAATTTAAGCTCAGAGAAGTGAAATAACTTAACAAAAGAGGTGGTAGAGTCAAGTCTCCTATCTACCAGTCAAACATTCTTACTACTGAGCGCATAGATAGAACAAAGTAAGTTACATGAGTAAAACATGAGAAGCCAGACATAAATTCCCTGTCCACTTGATCTCCAGCTTGCTTAAAGCACATATATGACACAATATGCAAAAAGTTCTACTTTGTACAGTTGCTCTAGAAAACAAATAGAACCAATGGCTGAAAGTCATGAGAAAATTGTTTTTCCAGTTCAATATAAGGAGAAATTCAATAAAAATATTAAAACTATTCAATGGCCTCTTGCAAAACTGCTATATAGATTCAATGCAATCTCAATTGAAATCCCAGCAGCATACTTCATGGACCTGGAGAAAACAATCCAAAAATTCATTTGGAACAAGAAGAGACCTAGAATAGCAAAAGCAATTCTAGGCAACAGAGACATGGCAGGG